ACAGCCCGTTTTGGTCGGAGAGGTTTTTGTTCACATCAGCTGTGAAACTCGATTCCGATGCGACTTGTATCAATGTGTTACCGTTTAGAGATTTCGAAGGATCGAGCAAATACTTTGCAATTGGTGATTCTAGAGGTAGGGTTTATGTGTTCTTGAGAAATGGTGATGTTTTGATTGAGTTTTTCACCACTGTTGATTCTCCGATTACAGCTATGGTTTCGTATCTTTCGGTGTTTAGGAACTCTAGTTTCGTGGTTACTGGTCATCAGAACGGTGCGGTTTTGTTGCATCGGATCCACGAGGGATCGAATAGGGAAGATTGGAACTCGAATTCGGTTTCTATGGAAAACGTTGGGAAGTTTGATGTGGATGATTCGGCTGATCCTGTGACTCTATTGGAAGTGCATCATGTGGGTCGGGTTAGGTATATATTGGTGACGGATTTAAGCGGGAAGCTCACGGTTTTAACCGAGAACAGGACGGTTTATGGGTCGGTTATGCCATCGAGTAGACCTCTCGTGTTCTTGAAGCAGAGATTGTTGTTTCTTACCGAGTCTGGTGCTGGTTCGTTGGACTTGAGGAGTATGAAGATAAGAGAAACCGAGTGCGAAGGTCTAAACCATTCGCTTGCGCGAACATATGTTTTCGATGTGATGGAGCGGTCTAAAGCTTATGGATTCACATCAGAGGGCGAAATCATTCACGTATTGCTTCACGGAGATATAATGAACTTCAAATGTAGAGTTAGATCCAAGAAAAAGTTTCAAATGGAGGAGCCAGTAGCTTTACAATCAATCAAAGGCTATCTTCTTGTTATCGACGAAGAGAAGGTTTTCGCTTTCAACGTATCGACTCAGCATTACGTCCGAACCGCTGGTCCTCGGCTTTTGTTCTCTGCTGGTTTAGAAGAGATCAGATCCGCGTTCTTGAGCCATCGCCAGACACCTTCAAGAACCGTAGCAGTAAAGGCGAGGCCTTTGATAGCTAGCGACCGAGAAAACCTTCTCGTTATCGGTTTAGGAGACGGGTATTTCGCGGTTTATAAATCAAAGCTTCCTATCCTCAAAGGAGACTTCAATACAATGCTTTGGAGCAGTCCTGTGTTCTTCTTCATACTGTTTCTATTTGGAGCTTGGCACTTTTTCGCCAAGAAGAAAGAATCGCTCACCGCGTGGGGACCCGATGATCCTTTCACTCCAACCACTGGACAGAACAGTTCGGCGAAAGAGCCGTCATTTACTGAACCTTCGAGAAGAGAAGACGAGCTCATGGATCTTCGGAGAAGGTACGTTGGTGGATCGTACCGGTCAGTTGGAGGTAACGACCAGAGTTCAAGAGCTCCGGTGGATGGAAGCTATAGAACAACCGCACAGGATCATAACAATTATCGCGGCGGGTCGGGTCTTGATTCAAACGGGTTTGGTAATAGAAGAGATAATTTGTTTGGTAACAACAAAGTTTTGGACGACGAAAGTTAAGAAGAAATCTTTGGATTACTTGCAAATTACCGAATACTAGTTTCAATTTTGTGACTTGTAATCAAACGGTTACTTGAATAAAGTTGTATAATCTTTGGCGTTGATTGGTATAACTTTTGGATGAACAGCAGCGTTATGCAGTTGGAGCAGTATGCTATGATTAATACGCACATTTTAATTGATTGGCAAAACTGTGAATGATTAGAGATAAAATTAAAATATTTTTTTGTTTTACTTATATATGTATTCTAATACAATATATATATATATATTAGTAGTAATAAGTTATAACATCAATTTTTAGATTTTTTATTAAATTATTATTTTATTATAATACTAATTAATAAATAATATGACAAATTAATTAATGGTATATATTAAATTTTCATTTTAAGACAAATATAAATATATTTATAAAATATAAATTTTAATATTTAAGTTCTATTTTTATTAAAATTTATTTTAAAAAATGATAGAACATATAAAAAATTGATAAATATTAATATATACAGTATATATATATATGTTTTATAATTACACAAATTATGTATATTTATTTTTATTGAAATGATTGTATATATTATATTTATAAATTATATCATAAATTTCTTTTATAATTTGTTCGAATTTAAATTATATTTAATTGAATTAATATTATATCATAAAATTATCTTAAAATAACAGAATAAATAAAATAATGATAAATATGAATTTAAATAATTAAAATTTAATAGAATTTATTTTTGATGTAATTTAAAATAAATTAGTTATATAATTTTAATTTTTGTAAAAATATTTAGAAGTCAATGCTATGAAAAAATTTCATTTGAGAGTATTGAAGGTGGAGCTTTTTGAGAGCATTGACATTTAGTAAATGCTCTACTTAATGCTCTCTCAATCAATCAAGTTTTAATGATAAAAGACATAATGCTCTTTTAAATGCTCTGTCAATCAAACTCTTTGTAACGAATCAAAGTTTTTTAAATTACTTGTTCGTTGGTTTTTTACTGACCGGTCCTTTAAATGTAAACTCCGGTCAGAGAATAATTGTTCTTTGCAAAATGGACTATTGTTTCCTCTGCCGCACAACCCTAAAATTCGGCGGTTTACCGCTGAACTCGCGTTCTAAACGTTTGGTAAAGATATGCGATTCAAAGTTTGACAGCTTAACAAATCTCAATCATAGTTGTTTTGGTCAATCATGTGTTATCGTGCTAGCAAGTGGGATTATAAGATGTGACCATAATAATTCTCTTAGATTCTAAATAGTAACACAATTCAGCAAATTTTTGCAAATTCCGTAGTTACCATTTAAATTTAACATATTATGCAGTAAATTCTGCAATTCAGCAAAAATTCACCAAATTCTACAATTCAGCAGAAATTATGCGGTTACAATTTACACCAGTAGGGTTTAGAATTTTAAGATCTAGCCTCTAAAAATTTATAATTAATGGCACTTTTGCAAATGGACAATCCATAGTAGTATTTTTACAAATATAAACACCAAAAGTGATATTTTGCAATTGTCCCCTAAATATATATGTAGTGTGATTAAATTTTACTAAATTTGCTTAATAATTCTAAAATAATATTGTAATATTTTAAAAAATTAGGTTTACTAAAAATAATTCAATTTCAATAGCAAAATATTATATAATAAATTATGTATATAAATTTGTTTTATCAATCTATTAATTTATTTAAGGGGCATTGCAAAAATGCCACTTTTAGTGTGTACATTTGCAAAAATGTCACTTAGGGATGTCTATTTGTTGCAAAAATGTCACTTAGGGATGTCTATTTGCAAAAATACCACTAATTATAGATTTTTAAAGCCTAAATCTTAAAATTATAACTCTAAAAATGTTTTGACCACTAAAACCCTTTAAACCCTCAAAACTAAACTATAATACAACATAGTTAATCCAAACATAAATGATATAAGATAAATTTTAAAAAATGTCACATGCTCAATGCCACTTTATAAAAATGCCACTTTTTAAAAATTTTTGCAAAAATACCACTCTTTTTTTCGGTATTCCTATATTGTCCTTGTCTTTTGACTCATATAATTTGACTTTTTCATTTTTCTTCTTTCTGTTCGTTTTTTTTCTAGATTTCAGTTTTCTTTATCTATTTTTTTTTTTCAGATCTCAACATTTTTTTCTCAGATCTCGTTTTTCTCTTTTCTCTTTTCTCAGATCTCATTTTTAGATCTCATTTTTCAGATCTCTTTTCTCAGATCTCGTTTTTCAGATCTTTTTTCTCAGATCTCGTTTTTCTCTTT